TCAATCAATAAATCAACCTGCCATTGTTTGCTTCATGAAATTTACTTTTTTTGTCTGGTAAATACATAACAAAAATTATTAAGGAGATGCTTGGACAATACTCTGAACTCGATTTAATGCATGGCAAATTTATTATCTGCTCCTAAAACACTAGCAGTAGCTCTAAACTAGCATTTTTTTTTCTGCTCCAAAAGCTCTTATGGCTGGTCCAAAGTAGTACTTTTCCTGCTCCAAAGTATGCTCCAAAAGTAAAACGCCACTTCCATCACTGCCAATGTATATGCTTGGGCTGTTTGGCCACTCGTTCATGTGCACACTTTTTTTTGCACATAATACACATGCTATGCTTAGGTGGAATTTCGCACACGCGCATGTAGTTGTTTTACCAGCTATCAGTATGCAGCCTTCATCCCTTCTCATTTTTTTTGTTCTTTTTTTCGTTTCTCTCTCTTTCTCTCTCAACTCGGCGATGACATAAAAGCGCATCGAAGCCTAGTAAATTTTGTCTTATGAAGATTGGTCTCTTATCCAAACGTCACAAATAAACAGTTTTTAGAAGTGTATATTTATTTTTTCTATTTCTACGGCAACCAAAGCCAGACTTTTTATAATCTACATATGTATATATACATCTGTTCGTTCCTTTACATTGACATGACTAGAAGGGCACATAACTAGAAATGCACAGAATGGAAAGACATGGGTGGGCATGTTGTCGTGTAAAATTACTAACAATATACATAGTAACTATAATTTTTCACGAGAAATGAAAGAAACCCTGTGCAAGCAATGTTTCACGCAGCAAACAGACACATTAAATAGTGGAAAACTGTTGATTATCTTTTTCAATTGACACGAAGATTATCCTGCACATTACATGTCCTAGTATATGCCCAGTCTGTTACCCGAAATTTGCGAGAATTGCCACATGCAAATTTGGTTTGTTACATAGCCGTTCACACCTTTCGTTTCAACAAACCATGTCTGCAAGTGAAAGGTGTCACCGAAAAGCAAGGACTAGGCTATGAGAGAGAACAAAAACACTCTGCCATGCTGTAAAAGTGATTTTAAGCAATATGTCTCGTACAGTTGAACTTGCTCCTTACAGCTGGACAAAAAATAGTGCATGGTGATTTTACTAAACCGTCATTTTTACTACCCACCAGGGTGGTCCAGTGGTTATGGTGTTCCATTGTTGACCCACAGGTAGAGAGATCGAACTCCTGCCGTATTTTCGATGTAGACGAAAGTGTTGGAGGCTCGTGAACTTTGATTTAGGTGCACAGTAAAGACCAAAAGCCGTATGATTTCCGGAGCGCCCCACTACGGCGTCTCTGATAATCATATTCTAGTTCTGAGATGTTAAGTCCCATCAATTGATCATTAACATCTATGTCCTTACTGCTGTTTGGAAAACCTGAACCCAAGAATAACTTCAGTTAACTTTCCTCCTTGATTTTCAGCTGGCGCCTATGGATGATACAATACACACAATCAGCTAAAGCCGTCTACGTTCCCGGTAAAGGACAGAGAAATTGTCTTCTGGGCGGGCTTTCATTTCACTGTGAATGTTCAGAGAGCGATGCCAAATAATTTTTCATTTGTTTTTGTAGCTCTCAGGTACATCTTTAGGCGTCTCAGCGATGAAAAAGAGCGTTCTGCTTCAGCTATGCTCACAAGCAGAGTCGCCAGAATCTTTAGAATACGGTTCATGTTTGGGAAGAATACCTTTGAGTAATTAGTAACCGCTTGCATCGCACACATGCTTAGTGTTTCTCGCTCCTCACGCTTCCATATTGCAGCCCATACTGCTAACTCCCCTTGCGATACCGAAGTTGAGATAATGTTCGAGTACACGTCAGCAATCTCCTCGGCAGTGGGAAGAGTGGCAGATTCGGGAAAATTCTGCGGCAGAAGGGAAGAAAACATCTTCAAAGTGTGCCGACGCCTTTTAAAGCACTCATGGAACTGGTCTATTAAATAATCCTGAAAAGGCCACAAATACTGAAAGCCTATAGTACACTTTAACGCTAGCCACAGGCACGTTGCTTCGATAAAGCTGCCTACTTGTGACAAGCGGCATCCTCATTTCGGCCAGTGGTCAAGTGTGTACTAAGAGCAGCGTCACCTTTTGGAAAATGATCATCGAACGTTACCGTACGGCATTTTGGAGCAACCATCGAGTCTCATAGAAGGGTGCTAAAGGACCCAAGAGACGAACTACCCAGCAATACATGTAAGCAGCTTATTTCAAAGCCCAGTATTTTACTCTGTGCGCGAGACGTCTCAAGTTTCTGATTGTGCCCATACGGAAGGCTGGCACTTCCTGTTACGTTGCGAGCCCGTATCACAAAAGTGAATGAACACAAAGGAGTTGACGGCAGCAGTAAAATTCCAGTGACTCTCATCAGAATGCCCGAAACAGACAACCGACAGGTATGGATGGTGCACAGCAGAGCGTAAGAAAACTCATGTTGCATGCGCTAACAATGCTCGTCGGAGTTCACATGTTCTGATAAATGTATTATGGTGTACTATGCTCTGAACAAGACGGGAGTTCATTTCATCACTCAGTTAACCGATCACTCAAAATTTTGTGTGGTTCGAGGCTGCTCCTGTTTGCATCGGCGTAAGTGCTGGAAATATGAATGCACGTACTAGTTAGAACAGGTTATACATGACATATCTACACTGCGTGGTGCAATATCTTGTACATTTCTGAATCTTTTGACGTAACGGGAAATATCGGCTGCATGCTTGCAAACAACAAAAGATACCTTGCCATAAGGCTATCGTTTCAGGGAGCTGAGTGATGAAAGCTACAAAAAAAGAGAGAACAATATGCATTTTTTGCGCATATTTGAGGTTTTTAGCGCATATGTGCAGCCAACAAGCTATTTCAGTGTGAGCAGGTATATTCTGGTTCCAGGTGTATTTTCGATTTAGACCAATTGAACATTTCTCAACACTGATTACCTTTCCGTCGGAGATTGAACGATAAAACCTCTACAATTGGAGTACTTGATTTCTATCGAAAGTCACAGTGCAACTGAAAGTCTGCCCGAAAAATAACGTGTGCAAAATAGTGTTGCCATTGTACGTGCAGTGTAACTTACAAAGAAAATTACTTATTGCATATCGCAAGCATGTTTGGGTGTGCATAGTGAGGTAAAAAATATTTACTAAAAGCTACCACTGTGTCAGGGCTGCTTGACATAAAGAGGTTAACGTAAAAATCATTCCCATAGGCATGCAGTCACGAACATCGACAGTAAGAAATTCGCTCAGCAAAGTAAGCAAAACCGAAATGTAATTTTGAATGTACAAAAACATGCGTACACCTCCTATTCCTCGTTGTAAGCGGAACTGCCCTTGACTTGTGAAACACACTTGGTCCTGATGAAGACTATGCCATTTACGCTGAACAGAGATTAACGATTAACAATGTCTTATCGAACTGGGTGGGTCATTGAAATAATGCCTTTTTGAAGACTAGTGCCTTCAGTGGTGGGACAAGAGGCCGTTGCTCCAAACGGTCACTGTACCTGTCATTTACTGTATCCTACTGCGATTGCCATCGCAGTGCTTTTACTTACTTTCTTCACAACCATACGCATGGGGAGGGGAATCTCATGACTTGATATGCATGTACACAATCTGTTCAAACTACCGTAGATAGAGACGTTACAGAGAAAAGCTGTGCCTGCAACCCCCCCCGTCGGATCAGTGTGAACCTTCCCCGAAAAACATTTCTGGCTACGCCCCTGGCTCACAGGCCAAGGTCACTTACAGGGTAAAAATACCGGGCCAGGCAGTGCTCTACTTTCTACAGATGTGTTTTCATGCCAAACTGGAGGGGTAGTTCACAAACCGTTTAACCCTCCAAATATGTGCACCAAAGTCAGAGTCAAAGACATACATCGGCTTTATGTTGGAAACACAGGCCTTTTTTCTTACCACGTGCTGCCACACTGCAGTAATATGGGGAATTGTTTTCTTGCACTGATGTATCTCCATTGCTGTTTTTTTTGTATGCTTTACTATGCTGGTGCACTGGCTAGTTTTACTTTTGCCCTTCAGCCTGTCCCCACTTGTTGCAGTTGCACTCACAAAACAATTCTTTAGAATGTTTCAAAGCGTGACTAATTTGTTGCTCTCTCATTTATTCGCAGTTGTGCTGTTCATGTGTAGTTGTGTAGCTCACAAATGCGCAGTATTATTAACCACCGCAGTTTACTTGTGCTGTTTCTCTACCATCACTGAGTCTGCTCTGCTAAAATCAGAATCTGATACAGGAAATGTCAGCCTGTCATAAGACCCAGGTGTTAATGAGCGAGTGGCAGAATCGAAAATTACGTTTTTCACTTCTTCCTTCTCATTTGAGTTTTCACTTGACACCACACATGCGTGAACTACTTGGGCGTTGATTTCAGTGCATAATTTTTTAACAGTCGTATAGGTTTTTATTGTAACTTATCTGCCTGATACATAGAAATAAACTTTATACATGTATCAACAGCGCATTTTTGTTAATTTACGGTCACAAGAAAAAGTTTCACAACTTTTTTCAGAAGTAGATTCATCTGAAAAACTGAAACTGGCAATAAAAAAATCTACTCTTAAAGGGTTAAATGATGTTGTAGTATCAGGGTGATGCTTGTTCATCAGGATCGGAGGTTGTTCAAAAATGTAGTGCAACTAATATAGAATATATATTTAATGTAACATAGGAGCTGATGTCATGCAGTTCTCGCTGACGTGGCTGTATATGAGTACTAACAATATTGCCCTGTGAAGAGTTAACTCAAACTGCTTGCAGCAGCGGCACATCCAGCATATTTCTTTCTTTGATTTCCTCATTCAGATCATTGTCTCAATAAATGTTTGTCGACTACTATATGGTTATTACTGTGGCAATGTTGGTAACGCATTGGGAGTCGTGCGAACCTCTTATGTGCTGTGACTAACTTGACCGTGCTGCTTGACGGCCCCCTTTTCAGGTCGTCTGAGAGATGAAAGCTTTTTCGATGACCCAAAGCTGGCCCATGTGGTGCCAGTAAGTAAGTATTTCTCGGCCAATGTTACCGGTTTATTGTCCTTTGAGTGTTCTACACTTGCCGTGATTTCATGGCAGGCCTGAGCATGATTTACTAGTTTTTATTCCATGAAAACTCGAGTGACAGTGAACTCTTGAACATGCTGTAAATGTGTACGTTGTTCGAATCCTGACGCCACAACAAGTTCAGACATGATTGGTGCAGTTTCTGGTGGAGATCCTTTGTCTTATTGTGAATATTTTTCTTTAATGTTGACTTCTAAGGGACTACGGATACTCTTCATGATGAGCTTCAATATGTTGAGTGCTTAGTCAAAACATATCAGTAGGCAGCTTTGTGTGCTTAGCAGCTCTCTCTGTACTCTCTGAACAAGGGTCATCTCCCCATGACAACAGCTAGTCACATACTTAGTCACCTAGACGGGTTCGGGCTGCTTGCTACCACATGAGCATAAAAAACACCGTAACGGACAACATATCGCCTGCCTCGTGATTTGGTGCTATTAGGCCAAATAACTTGCATGGACTTCCCCAAGTCATCTGGGCCTAGCTCGATTTGCAGAAATAAGTTTTGTGGTGGTTTTAATGTACGTAGTATACTGAGTATGTCTTTAATGTAAAGAGGATAAAAGCAAGACGTTTCGACCGCCATACAGGATAGCTTAATAACGTTTGCTGTCGGCATACTTGGTGCATAGCTGAACTTGAATTGATGGTTCAAGTGTCTAGACAGGAGTGAAGAAAACGCTTAAGACACAAAAAAGTGCAGACTCGTAACTAAATTTTATTCTTTCGAAAGCTTAGCTTAAAAACCCTTAAGCATGCGCACTGCACCGCAAAAAGCAAAATAACAATCTCTGAGAACACCGCTTGATGAAAACTTATCATCCAAAAAACTATACTCGCTTTGATAAAGAGTTACAGAAGGAACACTGATACAAAAATTGTCAGCTATCTAATGTAAATAGCCTCAGCCAATTGTCACGCCACTTTGCTCTTGCGCAAAAGGCATGCGTTGCCCATGGTTGGATTGCTCGTCCAAGTCTTTTAGTGATGTGGCAGATAAGATCCGGTCTCATTCCTTATAGACAGGGCAGGCTCTGCTAGTCGATCATTATTACACCAGCTAGTCAGGTCGATGTACATTTTACGGCAGCTCAGCGGAACCTTATAAACAACGCCAGTTGAGCATTTCATAGAACGAGTTTTCTTCATGCGTTCTTTCCCACAATCGGGACTATTAGCAGATGACACTCAAGCACAAATACCAGAGTTTGTTGGGAGCCCGAAACATTACAAGTACGTTATACCTAGAAGCCACATTCTTCAAAGAATAAAATACGACCTTGTCATTGTAGGGAATGACGACAGGAATCTCATTCTTTTTATTCACTGGAACAGTGCCACTGACGTCACGCTGAACTTTCTTCATTAAAGCTGCGCAAACAAATCATAAAAGGAATTTAGGGAAGCCAGCGGAAAGAAGCCTAAAACAGGGGTTAAACAGCTGCGCAAATTTGATACAATTCCTATTTGTTGCGCCGAGCTGCACTAAACCCATGAAATATGCTGAAACTGCACCATGCTGCACGAAAATGCCCAGCCAGCCTCAAAATTTTTTTCAGTTGCGCTAATTTCGGCGAGAAATGCAGGCTGCATCGGCCACCTGCAGCTTGCACCATCACTCAAAGCGCAGACTCGAACTATAGTGCCTAGAACATACTTAAAATATTCTAGGCAGCCACCCTTCGCTTGGGAGACATGATTCACCAGATAAAGTAACAACACTGCGCGCCCATCGATCCGCTGACTACAGCAGATACTTGGCGGCAGGATGACGGAACTTCAAAACGAGAATGCGTTGCTGTAGCCACCTACGCTTTGCGGGAAAGGTAAATTTCTTAGCCTGAAAACGCAGCTTTTGCTTGTTAAGATCTAAAGCTGGAAGCTAATGCCGCGTTTTTCTTGCATGAACAAGCTTGACGTGCCGCATACGCCGGCGTTACCAGTGACCACATTGGTTGCCTTAGCAGTAGCACATGAAACATTTATGTTTGTCGTGAAGTTGCATCGTCCCTGTCACGGTCCTGATGATAGATACGCGGTACCGTCGCCAGACCGACGGGTGCGCGCGCCGTTGTTACTTAACCTGGTGGAACGTGCCTTGCAAGGGAGCCGATGCGGCACACAACCCCACTGTGAAAAAACAAAGGGTAGAAAGTGGGGTGGTGGTGTAGCGGTTAGAACATTTCTTGGCTTTGGTTCTAATGCTACTTGAGCCACCTTTTCCGCAATACACCGTCATCTTGAGATTTAGAAGGGGCTGTTAGTGCTAGTGGGAGGAAAAATAGAAAAACTGAATTTATCTCGACAGAGAAAGGTGCGGTGGTGGAGTGTCAGAGAAGCCTACCCAGCGTAGGTCTCCGCTATCCTCTTGACCCAATCTAGGATCTGGTTTTGGACCTCTGCCACCGAGCTGCACATAGGAGCCTCCCACTGCATCTTACTATTCATGTGTAGAGAATTGGGTGGTGGGTTCTGAGTACCCCCTCACATGATATGGTCTAGGTTAGCTCTTTGTGGGCAAAAAAATGCACAGTGGGGAGGGGTTTACTGTAGGGTGTATAAGACTGCGAAAAGATTGGGTAGGAAATGTACGAGTCTGTAACTGCCGCCATAGTATTTCATGGTAGCGAGAAGCTCCATGATGTAAGCGAGGGTACATGGTGTGGTCTAGGCGGTAGTGATTTGTTATATCGTGCAAGGTTAAAAGACGATCTCTCGCACTGATTTTTCAGTGCGCGAGATCGGCTGCATGGTTTAAGGCACCAGCACAGGTATGAGCCGCCTCATTGCCACTCAACCCTGCATGCACGGGCATTCACGCTAGTGGGACACTGCACATTTTGGTCAGTTACTCATGCATTTGTACAACGCACAATTCTAAGTATGAGTACAATCACTGATGTCTAAGTACGCTACTGGCAGTCATTTCAAGCAGTGTATGCCATTTCAGGTTCCCTAAAAAACGAACTAAATTGTGTGCAAGTTTTTTTCGCCACCCCTACTTCTCGGTTTTACGAATTTACCAAATTTCAAGGTCGCGAGCTTGGCAGATTGACATGATTCGGAAAGTCTGTCAAATGATTTGACAGGTGCAGCAAATGCTAATATGGACTACAGTCGAGCCGAGCCCGCTTATAACGAATCTGAGGGTGACTCGGCATCCGTTCACTGTATCCCGAAGTTCGTAGTAAATGAAATACAGCTTTTAAAAAAGTTGCGAGTGAAAACACAAACTTTTTTTGGCCCACAAAAGTCCGTGATGCATGTGTTTCGAAGAACAGAAGCGATAACCGCTGTCTCGAGCTCATTTAAAACGACAGGGTGCTCGTTCGCCGAGGCCCGTAGCATAAGCTGCATGAGGCACTGGCTCCAAAGTTATGTCGTTCTCACAATCCGATTCCTCCGAATCACTCTTGCCACGTACTTCATTCACAATGCTTCAACAATCCGTGCACAGTTCCGCAGTGTTGGCATCGTCATCGGCCGTAATTAAACCGTCACAACAGATGTCCTACCCGCTCTCTCAGGTAGGAGTCGACGACATGGTGCCATGAATCGCCGCCGTAGTTTAGAAGCTTCAGGCTCGGCATCAGGCCCGACGTTAACGAAGTCGGCCTCGCGAAAACAGTTTCGCGCGCATGTAGCTGTCACCGCCGCCCACGAAATATTCACCATCTCCACAGCGGAATACCGGGACGCCCGAAGCGGCAAGTTGGCTGCCAGGTGGTCAACAGCTATGAGCAAGTGCTCCGCAATGCGACACCTAACACGCGGATTACGCTCAAGCCAAGCGGTCACACTTTGGACGTTTTGTTCAGCGGCAGGTAAAAGCGTGCTAGTCCTCCCGTCGGCCATCATGACCACGCACACACACACCAAGAGTGAGCAAGATGCGCAAACGCGACACACATGCCAGAACGCGTGAAACAGCTCTGGGCCTGTTTTCAGTCAGAAAACAAAACTAATTCGAGCCAGCGTGGCGGGCGTCGCGGAGCGGTGGAGATGGGCGAAGGGGTTGTGATTAAGAGAACATAGCAGGCTTGCGAGAGAAGGACAAGGAGTTGCGATAAAGAGAAGGGAGGATGCGGCGGGAAAGTGACCTTGAAAACCAAGACACAAGGGAAAGAGGCTGGTTGGGTAGCTTGCTTGAAAGGTCCGCGAAACTCGCACGTTGAAAAACTTGGAAAGAGTGCCTGCGCGCCCAGAAGTCAAAGCATGGCCGCCTGGATCGGTGCTCGCGGCAGTGTTTGAAGAATTGGCGGCCTTGGTTAAAAAATCGTTTTGTTACACCTTCGATATTTCGCGATTCGTCCCGCCCAAATTAACAGTCATTTTTGCGCTTCCGCATGCGCGCGGAAGGCATGCTGCGATGAGTGCGAAATGAGTGAGGACAAGTCGTAAACACGAAAAGAATCGCAAATTATCAGAGTCGGTGGAGTAGAGTACGCGCGTGCACTAGACGCAGACTATCGGATACAGTCGGTGGCTAACGATGCTGGCAAATGTTCTGGTCACTCCAGGCCGGCGACGTCATTGACAGTAACAGCGATCAAAAACAGGGTAGATGGCCGACCGGTCTTCGAAAGATCGGTGGCAGTGTGAAAACATGGGCCTCGTCTTGTGATGCAGGGTGCTCAGAGTGGCGGGGGGGGGGGGGGGGGGGGGGGGGGGGGGGGGGGGGGGACAAAGGATGGAGCGGTGCGTAACAAAAAGCAGTCAGGGCATCGAGGAAGGAAGCAGCTTTCCTTCCTCCATGGGTTGGGGAGAGCGGCAACTAGAGGGTCGCTGAGGCAGGGTCGGCGTTTAACAATAAAAATGTAGGGGGCACCTTGCTGATGCCTGATCAATGGTCGAAATTCGTTTCCAGGGAAGTCGGCAGACCGCTGACTCTGTTCCCTGTAACCGATCAGCGGCGCTCGGAGACGTTCGTTGTAAGTG